AAAGGATAAATTAAAAGCTGTATGTGAGAGTGCGGTTAGAGATCATTTCGTTGATGGTTTGGGCGATTCCTACCTACGCAAGGAATTGAAGAAACAAATTCGAGAAAATCCAGGGTTGTCTTTCCTCGACATGAGACAGTCTGCCTTGGAATGGTCAGAAAATGATTACAGATCACGAAGAGGTGCTACAGCTCTTTCAGAAGAAGTAACATTAAAAGATTCTGAGATAAATCAGATGAAGAAATTGTTGGAGTCTCAACAGGAGCAAATCACGAAACTTCAGTCGATGTTAAATCAACGTACCAGTAATCGACGTTGCTATCAGTGCAATAATCTAGGGCACCTGCAACGTAATTGTCCCAATGTACCCAAAAAGCAGGAAAACCAAGCTCGCCCTTAACTGTGTGTCGAGATAGGGGCGTGAGTCAACCCAAAGACTCATCTTGTGTTAGTTTTAGTTCGACTGTCGGGGATTGCCCCGAGGTTGAAGTTAAAATTGAGAATGCAACTTGTAGATTTTTATTTGATAGTGGATCTCAAGTTTCAACCATCGTACAGTCATTTTACGAGAAATATTTGAAATCTTCAGCTGAGCTTCATGAAACCTCATTTCTCACTGTTCGTGCAGCAAATGGACTTGAACTGCCTTACATTGGGATTATCCAGACTAATTTAAGAATATTTGGAAGCATTGTACCAAACCAGTGGTTACTTGTAGTGAAGGACCCAAGGGATCCAGCTACACGGAAACGGAAACAGGAGGTACCAGGATTGCTGGGTATGAATGTTATCCGTCATTGTTGGTCTGTAATTGAACATTTGGCGAAACGTGAAGATTTCGTAGATCAGAGTTTCGTTGAGAATGTTACTGCGACGTTATCACGTGATGAAAGGAACCTTCTGGGATTTGTGAAGGTCGCCGGAAATACTGATGTAGTTCTGCCTTCGAAATGCGTTACAGCATTTACCTCGCAATGTTTCAGCGTTTGTAGAAGAACTATGCACTAGAACGCATATACCAAATGATGTTGCTGTTTGTAACACTATTATACACTCAACTGAAAATCGTTATGTACAAGTTGCTAATTTTTCAGAATCTGATATTAACTTGAAACCCAGAACTCGTATAGGTGTGGTGGTGGCAGCGGATATAGATACTGAAAGCATAAAACTCTCTGTGAACCATGATCATGTATTTGTTGAAAGAGTGACAGAGGATACATTGCTCGAAGTTGGGGAGAACCCTGTTATTCCACCTGTACCTATTCCAGAAACTCTTGATAGTGTTCAGCGTCAGCAGCTGGAGGATTTACTTCTAAAGTATTCAAACGTTTTTAGTAAAGGAGATGATGACATAGGCTACACATCAACTATTACTCATCAGATTCATCTTACAGATCAAGTTCCTGTAAAATTACCATATCGACGTATACCACCTGCACAGTTTGATGAGGTACGAAAACATATTCAAAAACTGGTAGATATGAATGTTGTAGTTCCTAGTTACAGTCCGTATTCTTCACCGATAGTGATCGTCAGAAAGAAGTCTGGTGAGTTGAGACTATGTGTTGATTACAGACACTTAAACGCAAAGACAGTTAAGGATTCTTTTCCTTTGCCCCGTATCGAGGAAAGCCTTGATGCGATGCACGGAAGCTGTTGGTTTAGTTCTCTAGATTTAGCATCCGGGTATAATCGGATCGCGATGGATAAAAAAGACCAACCCAAAACGGCGTTCACAACCCCGTTTGGACTATTTGAATTCAAACGTATGCCGTTCGGCGTATATAACGGACCTGGAACTTTTCAACGTTTGATGCAGAGTTGTTTCCGAGACGATGCTTTAAAGATTCTGTTGATATATTTAGATGACCTGATAGTGTTCGCCAGATCTTTTCCGGAGCATCTTGAGAGACTCAATCATGTTTTTAGTGTTTTGAGTAGTCATGGACTTAAATTGAAGTCCTCAAAGTGCTTCTTCTGTTGTTCTGAGGTTCGTTATCTCGGACACGTCGTTTCAGCAAGTGGAATAGCCACTGACCCAGAAAAAATAAAAGCAGTGCATTCATGGGGTCAGCCCACAACAGTTAAGGAGCTGAGAACATTTTTTTAGGATTCTGTGGATTTTACCGCAGGTATGTGAAAGACTATGCCAAAATAACATTACCGTTACAAAGTTTTCTGAAACAAGCAGAAACTGAGAACAAGAAGGGTATATCTTCTTTTTGGACAGAAAAATGTACCCAATCGTTTGAACTTTTACGTGAAAAACTTACCAGTGCGCCAATTTTGGGTTACGCAGATTTTTCACAGCCATTTCATGTGGAAATTGACGCATGTAATGATGGACTGGGAGCAGTTTTATCTCAGTATCAGCATGGTCAATTGCGTGTCATTTCGTACGCCAGTAGAACTCTACGTGGACCTGAACGGAACATGGAGAATTACAGTTCAAGAAAACTGGAAATGTTAGGCCTTAAGTGGGCTCTTTGTGAAAAATTTCATGATTACTTGATAGGTCGGAAATTTGTGGTATATTCGGATAACAATCCCTTGTGTCATTTGAAGTCAGCTAAACTGGGCGCAGTTGAACAGCGTTGGTTGTCAGATCTTGCGGTGTTTGACTTTGAACTAAAATATAAACCTGGGAAAGCTAATAACAATGCAGATTCTTTGTCTAGGAAACCGGAAAATGTGGCTGAAAGCAGTTACATTGCCATTGACATAAACGCGAAAATTGAAGAAGTAACCAAGTCATCGTTTGTTCCGCCATGTTTAAGAGAACATGTCAATTTAAATTTGGATTCTCCGGTGTATTGTGAAAGTTTAGGGATGTTACCGTCCTACTCTCACGAGAATTTACAAAGCCTTCAAAGTGCAGACCCAACCATTAATACTTTTAGATCCTTCTTGGAGAAGAGTAATTCACCAACCAGGTCCCAGAAAAGAGAGTTATCCAGGGATGTGCTGATATTGTTCCGCCAATCCAAACGGCTATTTCTAAGGAATGGTATTTTATATAGAAAAATATTCGATCCTTTGGTTGGTAATGTTGAGCAGTTAGTTCTTCCAAGTTCCTTGAAGGAGACTGTACTGGAAAATCTGCATGATAAAGCAGGTCACCAAGGAATTGAACGAACATTTAATCTTGTGCGGTCCAGATGTTATTGGCCCGGTATGTGGAAAGATGTTCAAGCCAAATGCAAGAACTGTTCAAGATGTGTGATTGCCAAACCAAACCCTGTTCTCCATGCCTCAATGAAAAATCTGTTAGCCTCCAAACCTCTAGAGGTGATTGCAATTGATTTCACCTTATTAGACCAATCATCTAACGGTATGGAAAATGTCCTGGTGATTACTGATGTATTTTCAAAATTTAGTATAGCAGTTGCAACAAAAGATCAGAAAGCTTCTACTACAGCTAAAGTTCTGGTAAAGGAATGGTTTGTTAGATATGGCGTACCAAGACGAATCCATTCAGACCAAGGACGAAATTTTGAGTCTGATGTTATTAAGCATCTGTGCATTTTATATGGTATCAAGAAGAGCCGAACTACCCCCTATCACCCCGAAGGTAATGGCCAAACGGAGAGATTTAACCGTACCTTACACAACCTGCTAAGAACTTTATCACCTAGTGCTAAGAGGCGTTGGCCAGATCATTTACCAGAATTAACTTTTATGTATAATACGTCTACACATTCATCTACTGGCTATACTCCTTATTTCCTGATGTTTGGTCGGAACCCGATACTCCCCATTGATGTATTACTAGGCGCCTCAATCGGACATTCAGAATCATGGGTATGTGACCACCAACACCGTCTTCAGAGTTGTGTTATTCTCAAGCATATGGGATGTTGATTTCTTCTGCGGACCAACGGAATGAACACGATACAAAAGCTTGTGATGCTCCTTTGAAGCCTGGACAGCTCGTATATTACAAAGCTAGAGGAGTTTTAGGACGAAACAAGATCCAGGATCATTGGTCCCCCATTGTTTATTCGGTAATTGAGAGAATTAGTGGTGAAAATCATGTTTATGTTATAAGCCCAGTGGATGATTGTAGTCTTGCCAAAACGGTACATCGCGCTGAGTTAAAGTTGTGTCCACCAACTGTTCACGATCCATTGACTACCGGTATATCAGATGCGGAGGTTGAACTATCTGTTGACCCGTTTGATGATTCATACGGTAATCAAGTTGAACAGCCTGTTGATATTGCGAATACTTCATTGCCCAATGATGATCAGGAAATTCCTTTAGAAGACCGATCAAATCTTAATGATGATTCTGATTCCACTTCGACATTGTCATTTAATCATACAGAGATTCGGCGATCGGCGCGTGATAATAAAGGAACCCATAGCAATCTTCATAAGCTACCTGTTAGTGCAGTGAATAATTCAGTTACAACGGTCGATTCAGATTATTCTCGTATTATGATTGAATTAAGTAATTCTTTAGTAGCTACAGCACTTCGAGAAGTGGGGTCTTTATTGAAATCAAGTACGAATAGTTCAGTTTGAATTTTTTGCCATGTTTTTAAGATGTTGTTAGTTTTGTGTTTTTCATTCTTTGTCTCACAGATTTTCATTTTATGTTTCAATTTTGCGAAATGCAGGGACGCATTTATTGTAAAGTTGGGGAGAATGTGGGAGAGTGGATAGAATGTCCCTTTAATGACACCAGTTGTCTTATACATGTAGCTATAGTAACCTTTCCCGCCGGTAAGCGCTTTGCACGTGCGAGGGAGAGAGAGAGTTGTCAGTTGAGTTGATAGCAGCCGAACTGTACGCACACAGAAAGCAGCAGCCGAACTGTACGCACACAGAAAGCAGCACAGCCGTCTTGTGTTCAATGTATAGTTAGTTGGACGAAATAAAGTCTCTTCTCATCAACTGCGATTTAATTTATCAATTTTTGTGGCCGTGTCTTTTGGCTCGGTCACATTAGTTATACGATTATTTAGCTGGTTATTCGTGTTCAGTCGTCTGCTGTAACTTCGACTGGTTAGTCATATCTACAACATTACGTCATAGGTTTTTCTTACCTCGGGATAGATTTGTTTACAAATTGTCCTGTCAACAACAGATATTTAAGAGCGCTGCATCTTAGGTACTTAAACAGACATGTCAGTATCACCTCGCGTAAGTAGCTTTGCATCACTTCTGTATTATTACCTATTAATAGTGCTGTGTGCAATGCATTATTTATACCCATAGTATGATATTATAGATTATGACGTATCTGACTGTCAATATTGGTGTAATGTAAATACGCCATATTAGAGACTAAATAAAATGGCATTTGCTACATGATAATAATGATAAACGCTAGTCGGAAGGCATCGTGTTGGATCGAGCAGGATTTTATGTTTTGCAGAGTTCAACACTAGTCGAAGGTTCTAGAAAAATTGTGTGACGGGAATTCCCCTATTACTAACGTGGGGAAAACCCAATCCTCATTTAATTCTAACCTTGGGCATTTTGACCTCTCCACTTCTCTTGTCCCCCACATGCTTGCATTTCTTATATTCCTAATTTAATTCACGTGGTCTACCTTGGAGAGAGAAATAATACTTTCTACATGTATATGTTCAAATGGTGTTATTTTATAAGTATTGTCGACGAAAGGGTGGAGAACGAGAACACTATTAAGGGGAGCTAAATCCATATTTAAATATGGATGCAGACCACCAATAATGCCTCCATTTAATGTTAACGCTAGTCTATGGTTGCCACATTAGAATGTCATTCCATGTCAAGTGTACGAAATTCCCAGACAGTTGTCAGGTGGCATCCTCAGAAAATAATAGAAAAAACATATTATTATGTTATAGTACATACAGGGGGTCACTGTTCCCTAGAATAACAGGAATAGAATTAGGAAATTTCATAAATTCTGTCTTTAGCAGTGGGAGGAAACCGGAGGGTCCGTAATAACCCACGAGGTTGGACACATGTACTTTCACGTACATGCGAGGAAGCGAATCCACGTCCTTGACAGAGCGTAAGATCTAAAGCGCACGCGTTGAACCATTCGATCACCCAACCCCCTCGCCACTTGTACAGCTATTGGACTCAACTGAGTAAAAACTGAGTATAACTTTATTTGTTTCAGGCTATGGACTACAGAAATCGTAATGTTGCTTTGAGTAATAATAATAATCATCACAACAACTCGATTGGTTTAAACGACAGAGTGGGCCGCAATGACAGAAACACATATAATTTTTACGGGGATAACACACAAATCGCTGTAAATATTACCCGTGACGTGAACGATTTACTAGGTTCAGAAGATACGGATGATCTCCAAGATGGCTGTACAGGAAACAGTTTTAATTTTCGCGGCGATTTCAACCAAGTCGGTGTACATAATAGCATGACACATGACCACAACAATTTAAAAGGTTTAACAGACGAAGTTGATGAACTAGGCCAACAAGTGAAAGAGAACAAAGAGGACATTGCTGATTTAAGTGATCGCGTCGAAGATATGGAGCGAGAAGAACTTAAAGCTCTTAAAAAAAGAATGTCTCAATTAGAAGAATCGTTCAGAAATCGTGAAAAGAAAACAATTAATAGAGACGAAGAGAAACCAATTAGAATAGGCATACAGGGGCCAAGGTGAGTATTAGCCTGGTGATTTGCCAGTTATTGGTGGAGGGTCTGTAGGGATATTGTCTGTCATATGGAAATGAAATGGGGTTTAACGTCCTACTTTTCTGCACGGACTGGACTAATAAATACCGGCATACACCATGTAGTGTACTATGGGGGAAATTTTGCCTGGACAGCGATGCATACATAGGACTCCGATTTTTGGCCTCATCCGAAGGATTAAATGTTCGTTGCCCGGCTTTCTATTCCGCTCCATTGGCAATGGAAAACCACGTCGGAAAATCTCGAGTTACTTTGTTGGCGAGCACCAGGACCTACCCCTGGATCTTCTGGTTAGCGAGCCAGCGTCTTATCCATTGAACCACACTTGTTAGCGAACCCTGCGTCTTATCCATTGAACAACGGTGGTTAGCGAGCCTGCGTCTTATCCATTGAACCACAATTGTCAGCGAACCCTGCGTCTTATCCATTGAACAACGGTGGTTAGCGAGCCTGCGTCTTATTCATTGAACCATCCTAGTTCTCTTGTAAATATGTACTGGTAGAATATGTCAGTTCTTATTCTGTTCAGAGAAGTCGCCTGCCCAAACTCGTAGGTTTTCTCCAGGCCACTCGGTTCCTCTCCCACAGCTAAAGAACCCAACGCCAGCGAGTTATTGAAATTTGTGACTGGTGGACGTAAAACCACATCTCGAGAATTTGACAATATATTTGAGAATTAGAAAAAAGATATTTCGTTGCTATTATCAGCTGCACGCAGGCATGGCATATCTAGTAAGTAATCCATTTATTTTCTTCGGGAGATAACATTGTTATGTTAATATTATGTTTCTTTTGCATTTATCTTTGCAGCTGGCGGGATGTGATGGAACCGCTTACAGTGGACCCAAATATCACAGTTGGTGAACTTGAGGAGCTCCTGAACGAACGCCTTAAAAGGACTGATGTGTTTATTTTCTGTATAGAAATGGGAAAGGGTAATAAAAGACCATGGTTTGAATTAAAAACACATAAAACGTTAAAATTTCATAACGTTAAGGATGGTCATACCATCCATATAAATTACAGAAATACAGGTCGTTCTTGCTAGATCAACATCATGAAAAAGATTTTAATATATTTAATCCAAAAAAAAGGTTATATGATAAGTGTATGTATTGCGAAATATCAACGTTATAGATAATCTACCTGTGTTCGATTCAATCGGATTTAAAAACAGGCCTATCAATTTGATTCACAACAAATAAAAGGAGCAGCGTTGATCGATGTAATTTTCAATACGTCATTTATTTGTAAATACTGAACGAAATTGACACATTTTAGACTGATATTACAGATTCAAGATTCAAATTTCACAATATTTTAGTCTGTACAAGATTCCTATAGTGCTAAAATCACACATAGAGTCTTTAAATTATTCAACGATTAAACATCATACTAAGATATGGTGGCCATTCAGTGCAGAGATCTATTCTGTAGATGGTTCTCTGCGTGCAGAATGATTAAACACTAGTCTATGAATCCAACTGTGATTGAATGAATCGAATTTCTTTATGATTCTCTGTTAATTTAAAATTCTCTGTACATAGTTATCTCCATCCAAAGTTTAATTATAAATATATTTACATAGTTATCCCCAAAGTTTAATTATAAATATATGCACATAGTTATCTCCAAAGGTTAAGTTTAATTATAAATTTATGTAGTTAGTTATCTCCAAAGTTTAAGTTTAATTATAAATTTATGTAGTTAGTTATCTCCAAAGTTTAAGTTTAATTATAAATTTATGTACATAGTTTAAGTTTAATTATAAATTTATGTAGTTAGTTATCTCCAAAGTTTAAGATTAATTATAAATATATGTACATAGTTTAAGTTTAATTATAAATTTATTGAAAATAGTTATCTCCAAAGTTTAGGTTTAATGATAAATATATCTACATAGTTTTATCCAAAGTTTAAGTTTAACGATAAATTTGTGTACATATATTTTTTAAGTTTAAGTTTAATGATAAATTCATGTAAATATCTCCAAAATTTAAGTTTCATCATAAATTTATGTAAAAGATTGTAATATAGTTTTCTACAAAGTTTAAGTTTTGTGATAAATGTATAGATTTTCCCGGTGCAATGATGAACTTATATGGTAATAAAATGGGGTAATTTTTACATGTTTTGGCAAATTGTCAGGGTCAAGTTATGTTGTCAATAAATTATTTATTAAATAAATGTTTTCCTATAAAAATAAAACAACGACATCGGGTGTTTTTGGTGATCCTATAGTTTATTGGGTCTTGGAGTGACCGTGTAGTAGCACGGCGTACGTCGACACGGCGATTGGAAGTAACGAAACTGATCAGTTGCAGTCGATCTGCGCGTTCGGCCTTTCATGATGGACACTTCGGCAACTGACAGCAACTAGTTGGTTGCTCAATTCATCGCGCGCGTACATCGAGTGCTTCAGTAGGTCACGTGATTTTTTTTTGAAAATGGCTTCCCAAGTTATCAGCTTCAGAAAATATCAATTTTGTCCTTAAAGTATGTTTACTACGAACCTTGCGTTAATTATCTCATAGATCAATACCTTAAAATAAAAAGTCTCATAATGACAAATTTCCATAGTTGTTCTTTCCGTTTCCGGCAACTAGTTGCCTTCAGTTGCAAGTGTCGATTATACGACGTGCTATAGTATAGGCGTCACCCATGCCACAGAGTGGTAGAATAAAGAGAGTGCAACCTTTTTCATAATGGATGTAAAATAAAATCGGACCCTCAGTTAGCAAAGATTATAGCCCCCTACTTCGGGGTTGAGTAGTCGATGATTTTCAAACACGAGAAAGGGTGAAATCGAGGGATGAGTGGGCGAGATGTCGAGGAAAAATAATCTTGCGTTCTTCTCGCATCCTCGCCTCGCGACTATACTAGCACACCAGACTTCTAAGATTGACTGGCTCTCGAAGAGAAGTCGATATTACGAAATGGCGGCAACACTTCCATAAGTAAAAGAAACCTTTGAAGACATGATTAGAAAATAGTATGAACGACAATTATGTTTAGTGCTAAATATCTGACATGAAGAAGAGGTGAATGGACATGTATCCTATAAGTTTGTTGGTAAACGTTTGAAGCGCCGATATGTTCGTATTATAAGGGTGGGGTGTGGTGGGGTGTGGTGGGTTGGGGGGTGGCCGAATGGTTAACGCGTGGTAAGGTCTGTCATTGGGTCAAGTGGCGTGGTTTCGATTCACCACTTGTACGTGACAAGGCTTAGAGTCGCCTGTCAAACCTCGTGGGTTTTCTCCGGGTCTTCGAGTTTCCTCACACTGCTAAAGACCCCTACGCGCTAGCGATTTGTTGAAATAAAATTGAACCATTTGTTAGACTCGAAGTGACCTACTTTGTTTCGAGTGGACGTTAAACCCCATTAATCCCCCTTCTTAAATGCCCCCCCCCCTCTTTTAAGTTAAAGTTATCTTGGTGCACAAATTGCAGGTTTGACTATTGGCTTGATAGTATCAAATAGCTCTCTCTATCTCTCTCTCTCTTCTATATATAATCTGTATTTTCTCGTATGGTTACACAAGAAGGAAGTACTTAAATTGCGACAGTCGCTAAATAGGTTTAATAAAATGGCTGACAAACAAGAAGGAAGGATGTAGGGCGTTGGTTTAGAATTATTTTTCATCTAGTACTAGTAAACAGAGGCGGCGCAAGCAGCCGGTGGTTGGAGAGGCAAAGCTGGGGCAAAGTTCAAGGAAAAGGCTGCGAAGGCACGAGTTTCAACTAAGGTTTGGCGGGGGGGGGGGGGGTAGTCATTTTTGAGAAACAGACTGTCGGAAATGCAGTCTAGCAGTATTTCAGGCACTGATCGTCGAGATAAATAGGGCTTACCAGATACCGCCTGTCGCCCATACTACTCGCAGTGTTTCGTTTGATTAGAGCTAAGCCTGAGAGGAATATGCCTGTCGTCAAATCACTAGTTTATCCGACCAGAGAGTAAAGTGTCAAACGAACGGAGTGAGTGAATCAAAGTGAATGAATATTTTCATCGCGATATGTTGAGAAATAGACTGCCGGAAATGTAGTACAAAGCTGACCAGAAACTGTCTGTCGCCAAATCACTAGCTTATCCGAGCAGAGAGGGAGGTGTCAAACGAACGGAGTGAGTGGATCAAAGTGAATGAATATTCTCGCAGCGTTGAACCTATACTAGGGTGACCCACCATAAATAAATATCTCCATATATCTCGACAATTTCGCCACAATATTTATATATATGCCAAGCCTCAAATCAGTTTCACACAATTATAGTCACTAAATAAACGATCATGTTGTACTTAATAAGCTATGACCATTAATCATGTATAAATAATAGACTGAAAACTGGTTCCATGTGTCGTCCATAACACCCAGACACTTTTGAGTAAAAGATAGGTTACGTGCCCTTGTTTTGAAATTAGTCTCGCTTAACCAGTCTATCGACCATTCTAGGGCTGATTGACAGGTCGGGATAATCAAGACTACTTTTTTACGAAACATAACAGAAAGCTAGAACAAGAAATTGAATTTAGAAATGAGCACGTTAGCTAGCTCAACAATTGTTTTAAGAAGCTTGTAAAAGTAAAATGAAACTACTGATAGTATCATGTTCCTGTCTAACTCGAGTGTTTCAGAGATATTATTTGTACTAAACCAAAAGATGCCGCTCTTAACGGTACAGTTAATGATAAAGCGATTTAAAAAATGAAACGAACGTAATTTCTAAATCTGCTGTAATAACCAAGAAGCTTAATTTTACTGCTATTGAAAATCGTCAACAATAATTTTTTTATGGCTGTAATAGTTGATAGATTTGTAGAGAATTGCACGTGCCATGGCTATTTATAGTATCATACTGTCAGAAAGTTGGCCTCGACACGGCGAATGTGCACGCTTCAGTGGTAGTCTCGAACTATCAGCGGTTGACTGTATTTCTGGAGGTGCGTGGGTCACCCTACCTATACCCCAATACTTTGAGGATCGTAAAAATCACTTCTCAAGTGGTTCACGTGTTATTGTTTATAGTAGGTTTACAGAAGGATGGGCTTGGTAAGAAATCACTCAGACTCTACAACATGCAAGTCTATGAGTGAGTGGGAATTAATCACCGTAGAAGGTATTGATTACCGAAACATTTCATTTTTAAAATTATTGGCGGGGTGGGGGGGGGGCAAACAGAGGGCAGATCAAATTTAAGGGAAGGCAAATCCTCCCCTTGCCCCCCCCCCCTCTCCCTTTCGCTCCGCCACTGCAAGTAAATATTACGACAGTGAACAAAATATTCAGGCGTGCCGTATACATGTATATAGACTACATTAATTTGTTCGGAAATTTATGGATATATACGTTTTGAAAATATACAATTACACCAGGAAGTAATGAACACCAAAGGAAATCGGTCATAGTTTGTCGGTTGGGAGGCTACGTTGACACAATGAGTATGGTTCTGACTGATACTGGCAATTCTTCAGCCTGCTTTCCCTCTTGTATTGGAATGATGACCTGGCCAGCAATGAAATGAAATGAAATGGGGTTTAACATCCTACTGTTCTGCTCCGATCTGGGCTAATGAAGACGGACATACGCCATACAGTGTGCTATGAGGGAAATTTTGCCCGGGCAGCGGCACTATCGACTACTCTTGTATCGAATTCCAACTGCCAAGGGATCTTTTACAAGGGACCTCGGTTTTTCGTCTCATCCGAACGACCAGACAGCTGTCCTTGTCAGGCACTCCGTCCCGCACCCCTCTTGACAATAAAACTCAATCAACAACAAAAAAAACTAAAAAAAAAACCCCCAACATCAGTTAACAGCTTCTAAACACTAGCTAGGAAAATGATACCACTGTGTTAAGGTCCAGCCCAATAAGTGGGACCCATAAACGTCCAGAGAAATAAAACAGTTGAACCAAAAACTAGTCTTTGCTACAAGTTACAAGATCTGATGCCAACAAGTAAAAAGTAGAAATCCACAAATTAGCACAATCAGTGGAGCAGGAGAGAGAGAGAGAGAGAGAGGGGGAGAGAGAGAGAGAGAGGGGGGAGCGAAAGATATAAATGGGGTTTAACGTCTACTCGACACAAACTAGGCCATTTCGAGAGTATCACACGATTCAATTTTAATTCAATAATTGGCTTGCGCTTCGGGGTCTTTAACAGTGGGAGCATAGGCAACCATACTCCTTGACACGCTTCTTGACTGAATGACAAGGAGTAGGGTCGCCTGTCCAACCTCATGGACAGGACAAGGTTTATAGAACGGTGTCCAATAAATGATATACCCCAAAATGATATACATGTATGAGATATGGGGTTTAACGTCCACTCGACATATGGTTCAATATTATTCCAGTACTTCACTTGCGTGTAGGGGTCTATAGCAGTGGGAGGAAAGAGGATCTGTCACTGTGTCAAGTGGCGTGGTTTCGATTCTCCGCTTGTACGTGACAAGGAGTAAGGTCGTCTGTCCAACCTCGTGGGTTTTCTCCGGGTCCTACAGTTTCCTCCCACTGCTAAAGACCCCTACGCGCAAGCGAATTATTTCATAAAATTGAACCATATGTTAGTCCCGAAATGACCTAATTTGTGTCGAGTGGACGTTAAACTCCCTCTCTCTCTCTTCTCTCTCACTAATATTATGTGTATCACGAATTACTCGTAAAGCCGATCTGTGAATCGTGTGTAGTATATTGATCGTGTTAGATATGTATTAGTTACATATACACATACACTTCATATCAAACATTGTTCTACATCCGTTACAGTACTCGTAATATAGTAGGCCGATACATATAAATATATGTAAAACAAATTATGCATTCGTGAAAACTGTGATTCACCACAATGTCCCGAAGTTTATATACATATATAGAGAGGAATCGCAATCTTGTGTTTTAACAAAATGATGACATTTTGACAGTGAAAAATCTGATGTGCATGATGGCTTCTTATTTGTTGTGTGCTGTGCAACTGAGACTTGATCCAAGGACAAATCCTGGCTATTGTGGTATGTACAGTGTTTAATATTACCGGGATATTAGAAATGAAATGGGGTTTAACGTCCTCGTCCTACTGTTCTGCTCCTATGCTGGTCTAATAATGAAGACGGGCATACGCCATACAGTGTGCTATGAGGGAAATTTTGCCCGGGCAGCGGCATTATTAGCAGTACTGACTCGTGCATCGGTAATAGCATAGATGTGCCAAGAGAGAGAGAGAGAGATGGGGTTTAACGTACACTCGACAAAAACTAGGTCATTTCGGGCCTAACATATGGTTATTCAATTTTATTTCAATACTTCGCTTGCGCGTAGGGGTCTTTAGCAGTGGGAGGAAACCGGAGGAGCCGGAGAAAACCCACGAGGTTGGACAGACGGCCTTACTCCTTGTGATACAGCACGCACGTGCTAACCATTCGGCCATCCAACCCCCCGAGCAAACTGGAGTACCCGGAGAAAATCCATGAGGTTGAATAGGCGACCCTACTACTTGTCATATACAACCGGGGAATCGAAACCACGTAAGTTGACTCAATGACAGATCTTATGATACACCGCGCACGTGCTAACCATTAGGCCATCCGACCCCCTAGATGTGCCAGTAATGATTCTGCTCTTGAACTATGCCATTAAGTATTTCCAACCTCGTGGGTTTTCTCCGGGTCCTCCCACTACTAAAGAACCCTACGCGCAAGCGAATTATTGAAATAAAAAAATAAAAAACATATGTTAGTCCCGAAATGACCTGGTTTGTGTCGAGTGGATGTTAAACCCCATCTCTCTCCCCCCCCCCCCTCTCTCTCATTAAGTATTTTCATAATTATCTTCTCTTTATTGACTTTTACCACAATTAAATATGCACATATATATTATATACTCGTGTATTCCATGCATGTAGTAATCCTGAGAAGGTTAATGACACACTGATCCGCAATGAACATTCGCTAAGCCGCGACAATCGCTGATAAGGATGACATTGATGCGACTTAATGAGCCACAAATATTAACTTTTTTCCTCCAACAAATTAAATTCTAAAACATTTTTTTTTATGTATTAGAAAAATAAATAAAGACGTTTGAAGTATACTATTCAAAAAAAGTAGGGGGTGTTTGATTTTTAAGTGTTATTAAAGTCACCTAATGAAACTGACGAAGAAACAAATGACAAAATGAAATGAAGTTCACATTCATCGATTTATTCCAAATGATCGTTAGACTAAGTAAGGCACAGACTGACCTTTATAAGGGTAAAAAGATACCCGGGGTCAAACAGCAAAGTTACCACAGCATCACAACCAAGTCAGTAACGGGTAAATCCTCCCCTGTTTGCCAAACAAGCATTGATCCGACGTGGCATACTCCTAATGAGACGTCTAAGGTCATTTTGGTCCAGATTGTCCCATTCCTGTTGCAACGCAGCAGCAAGTTCTTGGACATTGGAAGGACGTTGTTGACGTTGACGTAACCTCTGTCCAAGCATGTCCCAGGCATGCTCGATGGGGGAGAGGTCGGGACTCAGTGCTGGCCAAGGTAATGTGGTGATGTTCTGTTGTTGGAGGTAACCTGTAACGATCCTGGCCCTGTGACATCTTGCGTTGTCATCCTGGAAGATGAAACGGCGGCCATGACGTCGTGCGAACGGCACAACATGGACTGCCAAGATGTTGTCCCGGTAGTACTGGTCTGTAACACGCCCTGCAACAACATGTAAAGCCGTTCTTCCAGCAACAGTGATGCCTCCCCAGACTATAACAGAACCACCCCCAAATCGATCATGTCTGATGACGTTAACGTCTTGGAAGCGCTCGTTTCGACGACGCCACACCCTCCTACGTCTGTCCAAAAAATCAACAGTGAACCTTGACTCATCTGAAAACATCTCATTGCTCCAGCGTCGATTATCCCAGTGTTGACGATCCCTACACCAACGACGTCTTGCCTGAATGTGATGATCTCTCAAACAAGGGATCACGCGAGGACGTCGGGCGCGAAGGTGACCCCTATGCAGTCGATTCCGAATCGTCTGGCCACTCACTCTCACACCAGTGTCTGTTTGAAGACGAGCGCTGATCTGATTTGCTGTGATGACACGATTTCTCAAGGCTAAGGTACGGATATGATCCTGGGCTTGAGTTGTCGCCCTTGGTCGACCTGAGCGTGGTCTGTCCTGTACAGATTGTGTATCACGGTATCTGGACCATAGCCTGCTTATGACAGACTGAGAAACATTCATCGTCCGCGCCACAACCGCCTGTGTTGTGCCGATCTGTAGCATGCCAAGGGCACGTAACCTTTCATTTTGGGTAAGCCGACGCATATCAAAATTTGTTTTCTGGTCACTAAAACAATTAAACTGATGTTTCCACCCTGGAATTCAATGCCACAATGACTGTAACATTCAAAGTCAGAGTCGTGCAAATCTTGGGTTGGACCCCCATGATGATCCCAAGCATCACCTGCATTCCATGCGGTAGCTATTGGTGCGTTTGGGCGTCACATGTAACTGGAAATGTTTCTTCTGTTAGGTTCTATAGTGACTTTTTTCGTAGTCATTTGCATATTTTAGTATTATGCCCCCAAAATCAAATATCCCCTACTTTTTTTGAATAGTATATTTGTAGGTAAAAATCATTTCCTATTTTAGTGTAAATGGGTATTAAAGTGAGTAAAAGGCACTATTCTACTCGAATCAGTAGCGTCTTATGTAAACAATGCACGCGCTAGTGAGCCAATGATTGACGCCGCGTGATATGACGCCATGTGTTGAAAGCAGTCATCTTTGACAGAGATATTACTCTAGACTCGTAATTCTCTGTAAAACAGATTGAATGCATGAGGTGGGGGGGGGGGATATCGAAAGTGAAAATCCGGTTCTCAGTACGAAATCCCGTTATCGTGTCATGCATCAACGGAAATTATTTTCCTATCGCTTTTTGAATCTCTTTAACTTATGTCCTGATACATTGATCATGATAACAGACATAACCTAATTACTATCAATACAATAGGCTATAAAATAGGCCTACTTTCAATTTATCTCATTTGTCGAAGGCTTAGATTAGCATAGACATACCTGCAATAATATTATTACTTATAATAATAACAAAAATGGTTTATTCACAACTACATTCGTATGGAATTTACATTTTCACATTGTGGTGCATTATAATATATATCTAATTTCAAATATATTACATAGTCAAGTTTCGAATCCCCGGTTGTACGTGACAAGGAGTATGGTCGCCTGTCCAACCTCGTGGGTTTTCTCCGGGTCCTCCGTTTCCTCTCACTGCTAAAGACCCCTACGCGCAAGCGAATTATTGAAATAAAATTAAACCATATGTTAGTCCCGAAATGACCTAGTTTGTATCGAGTGGACGTTAAGCCCATTTTTTTCTCTCTCTCTACATAGTCAAAGTCACACTGATCAGCGGTGAATTTTCGCGAGACTCGTAATTCTCTGTGAATCAAGTATGTCTAGAATTCCGGATTTGTCATACCAATCACGTGATTTCATTGTAGTCACGGTCGTCCAGTGACTTTCTTACTCCATCTCCATCCTGCATTGGCGTAATGAAGCATTCGGGCCTCTTTTCATTTCCGTCTGGTGCCAATGTCAGGTTGATCCAGCACCAGCAGATATTTTAGATGAGATGGCTTGATATATCGACAACCGTTTTCTTTTTTCATTTCAGTAATTCACAATATTGTTAACAAGAAGTTCCTCTAACACACTGATTAGGGAGATTGAAGGCTTCAGTGAAGTATAGAGTTAGGATAGCCTACTACTAAAGTGATCTTTGTCTTTAGTTTAGTGTAGTGACAGTGTACATTTGGATATTGTTTGTTACTTTAGCGAATAGGAGTCTATTGTCGTACACATAATGTATAATTGGTGAGTAGAACTTAATTTTTGTATGAAATAGAATGACGTGAATTCCAACAAAATTAGTCTTTCATCAGACTGTCTTTCATTTCTACGACCAACTCAATCCTGATCTATCGATGGGGTATAATTTGGTGCCTACTCTAAGTCTACGGGTATAATTAATTAAAAGCGGTGATTGGTCATGTTGTGGGAAACAGGCAATTAAGCCTCGGCATGTGGGGAAACAGGGGCAATTGCCTCGGCATCTTGTGACAAATATATAATACTGCAGTAGAAAACAAAATAAGAAAGACCCATTTCCCAAATCGTGATATGGACCCGTACAAACCATCTCTTTTTTAAACATCGAAGCGATAAATGTATGGCTGGCTTTCCAGATATTTTAAATTGACGTCTAGTTACGTCATGAAGGCAGGGCTAAAGAAACATGTCATGTAACAACAGCGGGTCCGTATCTACAGGGGGGCGCGGGGGGGCATGGCCCCCCCGCGTGATATGCTCGCCCCCCCCCCGCTCAGAAATTGCTAACAATCATTAAAGTATACACAGTTCCTTATATTAACCTAAAAAAAACTACGCTTCCCTAAGCAGGAGGAGGTATAATTCAGGCGTGATATGCTCGCCCCCCCCCCCCCCCGCTCAGAAATTGCTAACAATCATTAAAGTATACACAGTTCCTTATATTAACCTAAAAAAAACTACGCTTCCCTAAGCAGGAGGAGGTATAATTCAGGCGACTGTGCGCATAATCCCATGGTATCTCATTACTTTATAAACCATTTTTTTGGTACTAATCTAAAATAGTTTTAAATAAATTTAAAAAATCACGATTTTTTTTTGTTTGAATACTTATTTTAAAATGCTTATTAGACGCCTAGGTAACTACATAGCATGATGATTACAACAGTCTGTTAGAATGACCTTTCCGAAAATTTCCTCAAAATGTTCGCCCCCCTACCGAAAGGTAATGCCCCCCCCCCCGCTTAATGGTGTCTAGATACGGGCCCGAACAACAGCCATTCAAAACACGCGAAAAGTAGGAAAACCATTACGTCGCAAGAATAGCCTTATCAATTCTGTAAGAAACACTGTTGATTAACTTGACTGACAATATTGGGCGGGGCATGTTTAATTAGTCCCAAAAGTGTAAAATTAACTTATTTTTAAGACATTACATGCATTAATAAAGAAATTCAGTTTGCCAGGTGAAATTGATCTAACCCCTAACCGAGCTTTTACGTGTGACGTATTTCCGGTGTCTATTTTTAGCTCTGGAAGACTGGCCTTATTATTCTTCACATGTCTAAACCAAACGTGAACGGGGAAACGACGTTATTATTAGTCCTTCTTTACGCTTTAACGTATCTCAATGTTTTTAGCTTCGTTCTCGTAGCTAACAGCATGCACGCACGAAGGTAAACAATCTTATTTGCATACGGTACTTTTATATTATTTTTGGCTGGAATTATTTTTAGATCGATAATCTGAACGACAAATTAACATGTGTAGTAGTACAGTGTAGATACAGTAAAGCTCTATAGCTCTAGCAGACGACATTTCAACCTCGCGCGTACTGACAGTGACACTGTTCTGTTCAGGAAACCCTGTTCAGTCGGCTGTTGAATGCAAATAGGGTAAACCATATAATATATATTAATATATCCTTTTTGTAAATTGTCCTGTAATTTAAAATAGATAACATCTGTTTAGTTGTAAAAAAAAATGCGTGGACACAGAGCACCAGCGCCTTATCTATTCTTACGACGAGTCGAAAGAATTATTAATGGGCTATTTTTACGAAGTTCCGGTAGCGCATGCGCAGGTTTCACAATGTAAATAATGCTTTATGTTTACGACGAAATCGTCGTAAGAATAATAGGAGACAGGCTATTTTTACGACGACTACACTGTCCAACTTGCATGCATATCAGGAGGGGTCATCTCAACATACTAGAAGGGGTCATCTCAAAGATTCTGAAAATGAACAGAATTAGGGTCATTTCATCACGTGAAACAAAGTGGCAATAAATAATGAATTTATGTGAGTTTAATTTAGTTTAAAACTAAAAATTTGATATTTACATAGGTACATATGAATATAACTTATTAATATTATTATGTTTTGGGCAATGACAGTTGAATAATATCTCATTGTTTGTAAATTTCCCCTCATACCAGTTAGGCCTACCACACGTACTTTATGTCGTAAGTCCGTCTTCATGACATTAGCCCAGTCAGTGAAGAAAAGTAGGATGTTAAACCCCATTTAATTTCATTTTCATTTCACAATCTCAATTATTTATCAAAGTTTGATTCACGCTCAATTGCCGATCAAGTATATAGGTGAGTATACGAATATCTACGTCATTAAATATTCATAGCCATGATCACCTGTCATTTCATTACGCCTTCTCCCAGTAGAAATGAATTAATTTCACTTGTTTGTGTGAATATAATGCTTAGAACCAATCGGAAATAGTTTAAAAATGTGCGCATCTATTTTATACAGGTTTCAGATTGTTGTTGCAATGTAGTTGGGAGAACCATGTACCGGTAGCAAAATTTCACACCAGAAATGCAGGCTGCGTACCTCACACATATTTGCAGAAAAAACAGATTATTTTCAAGTTTGGTATGAACTTTATTATTATTCTGAGTGATCTTGATAGAAGCTACAGTTTTTATTCTCCCGTATGGAAATGTGGTTGTATATTAATTGTTGTTGCGTCCGTCCGTCGTCCACAATTTCTTGTGAACACTCTTCAGGCTACTTTTATCATCTGATTGTTTTGTCGAAATTGATACCGTATATTAATTGTTGTTGCGTCCGTCCGTCGTCTACAATTTCTTGTGAACACTCTTCAGGCTACATTTATCATCTGATTGTTTTGAAATTGATACCGTATATTAATTGTTGTTGCGTCCGTCCGTCGTCTACAATTTCTTGTGAACACTCTTCAGGCTACATTTATCATCTGATTGTTTTGAAATTGATACCGTATATATATGTTGGTTACTTCAGAGATGAAGAAGCCTATTAATAGTATTAATGTCAACAATTTCTTTTGAACACTCTACAGAAATGACCCTTGTTTCACTTTGTTGAACCTTGTGAACGCTCTAACGACAAAAGTTAAAATCCGATCTGTATGGATTTTATATATGCATCTTTTAAATTAATGAAACGAAGCAGCCCATTGAATTTCAGCAATTCTGTCATTTACTTCTAAATTTATGGGGGATCACGGTGGCTAAGTGGGTAAGATGCTGGCTCGCTAGCCTGGCGGTCGAGTGTTCGATCCCTGCATTGGCCGAGAAAGTTCATCCAGATTTTCCGACGTGGTTTCCCCTTGTCAGTGATGCAGGACGGAGGGCCTGACAATGACAGCTGTCTAGTCATTTGGAGGGAACGAAAACCAGAGGTCCCATGTACACATTGGCGTGCACCTAAAAGATCCCTTGACAGTTGGAATTCGATATAAGAGTAGGCCGTAGTGCCACTGTCCAGGCAAAATTTCCCTCATAGCACACTGTATGGTGTATGCCCATCTTCATTAGCCCAGTTCGGAGCAGAACAGTAGGATGGATGTTAAACTCCATTTCATTTCATTTCATTTCTAAATTTATGACACTTGTTTTACTTTGTTGAACTTGTGAACGTTCGAATGACAAAAGTTGTAATCCAATCTGTATGAAATTTAAATGCATAATATTTGAAATAGTAAAACCAAAAAGCCTGTCGAATTTCAACAATTTCTATGAATTATGGCCAAATACCCCCAATTTTCTACAAAAGAATAAATATACGACAACCCATTTGTCGAACGCTTGGAAGATTTACCTGCTGTGGGGTATATTTCATTGCATGGCAACCTATCTTTAACAGATGTTTTCAAATAGGAAGCATTAGGATCATGAGATATTCAGCATTCCAGAGTTATCCCTCTTTGCTGGTGTGAGGCATTGTGGTCATGAGAGGACAAACCATATCGATATGCAGTGTTCTGTTCTGCAAACTACCGTACCAGTGTCATGCCTCCTTTGCTGGAAACTTTTTCAAATTTGTCTACAATTGGATTGTGAACGCAATAGGGGCTGTAGTGGTTGTTCTTCAGGTCACAATTTTTATCTGATTTTGACGAAAATAATTGAAATATAGGTTTATATCCCAAAGATCTTCTTTCCTGTCGATACTGGCATGTATTGGACCGTAACTTCATGGATTATGAAAAATGGTGTACGAAAAATGGTGTTATCTGCTTTTAATGAAACTTGAAATATATTCGTGCATATCGGACCGTAGCTTCCTGGATTATGGCCCCTGATGATACGAAAAATCACTTTTTTAGCTTGTGGTTCCTCTAGAGGTCCAAATTATTTTGATGAAATAGGTGATTGTACGAAAAATTGCCTATTTTTAGCTTGTTCTCTGTCCATCACTTTTTGCTACAGGATTATGCCTCATACCGAAAACATTCTGAACGCGATAGGGGCTATAGTATTTATACACCCACAATTTCATGTGGACTGTGGACCTATATTGTCGTTGCCCCAGTTTGTTCACTTGTCTGTACGTTCACATTTTATTCAAATGTTGACTCTCTACAAGTCATAATTTTTATCCGATTTTAATGAAACTTGAAATACAGGCTTGTATCCCAAAGTTCTTAGTTTATTTCGATATTGGCATGTATCAGACTGTAACTTCGTGGATTATGACCCCAGATTGTACAAATAATCACGTTTTTAGCATATGGACGAACACTTTTATCTGATTTTGATGAAACTTAAAATATATTTTATTGACCCAAAGATCTTGGTTCCTTTCGATATTCGCGCATATTGTATCGTAACTTCCTGGATTATGACCCCTAATTGTACAATAACTTGTATTTTTAGCTTGTGGTCACAATTTTTATCTGATTTTAAAAAACGTTCAGAGATATCATCACCGTTACAAATTGGACACTCCTTATACGCAAAAATAGTTTAAAAGTATGTAATACCAAGGTTGTGAACACCCCAGGTCACAATTTTTATCCGATTTTGATGAAGCTTAAAATGTATGGTTATAACACACAGATCTTGGTTCCTTTCGATATTCCCACATATCTGACAGTAATTTCCTGGATTATAACCCCTGATTGAATAAATTCTTGTTAACTTGAACATCCCAAAGATCTTGGTGCCTTTTGATATTGACACAAGTCAATCTTGTAAATATTCCTATTACCTGCAAAAGAATAAATAAGCAACAAATGTCGACTGCTCAGACAACTTAGTTGCTGTGGATGTATGTTTTATTGCCTGGCAACCTATCTTAAACATCCCCTTTCAGATCTACATGCTTTCTCACTGTAAACTGATAAATTTTATGTTTTGCCAAAAATCATTTCTTCAAGATGCATAATTTCTATCATATTCCCGAGCTTTTACAGTCACAGAATGCTGAAAATCAACAGGGTTCTTCCTCTCCTAATTTGAAAAGCAATAGGGCTAATCTTCTCTCTTGCAGTCCTAAAGCTTCACACTCAAAACAGTTAAAAACTGTAGCCTATACCGCATTAACAATGTTTTTGTAACGAGGAGGCAAAGTGGGGGGAGGACGGGTGAACAAAAGGTTGCGGAGCACTGAAAATCGATAGAGTACATTTGCTAAGACCCCAATGCTTCACATCAAATCTGAAGAAAATTTGTCAAAAACAAAGTTTTTGACAAATGGGATGTAAATCAAATAGGTTCATCCTCCAATGACCCAAAAGCTTCACACCAAATTAATATAGGCAAAGGGGAAGTAAGTGACAAGGAGTTGGGTCGCCTGTCCACCCTCATGGGTTTTCTCCGCGTCCTCCGGTTTCCTCTCACGCACAAAGACCCCTACGCACAAGCGAATTAATGAAATAAAATTGAACCATATGTTAGTCCCGATAGACGTTACCGGTCTCTCTCTCTCTCTCTCTCTCTCTCTTAACTGCTGATTATCCAATTTTTATTTTAGATTAAACCTGGATGAAAATCAAAGTAAATCCAGCTCGAATATGACTACTGAGACAAAAACCATGCCTTCAAGTGAACAACCCGAAAGTGCGGAGTCAAATGTCAACAGTAAACTGCTAGATAAGGATTCTGGTACTTCAGCAACAAATAAAGGAACAAATGAGAATGCACCTGTGGATTCTGATACAATAAAAGACAATTACATGGGCAGAGTTGGGAAGATTTTTGGAAAGTACGGGAGATTTGTAGCTACTTACCCTCTTTTCTTCATCATCACACCCTTGATAGTATGTGGCTTGCTAGGTTTAGGACTTCTAAATATGTCCTCGGAATCCGACATCGAAACATTGTACGTTCCAGTCAACAGTCGTACTGCTTCCGAGAGAAAAAAAGTGAACTCGTTATTTCCGGACAAATCGGATTCCAATTTTTTTGAACAAAGTTTAGGTGTGATGAACTTATATGGTGACCTTATGATAAAGAGTCGCGATAACAGAGACGTTTTATCGATAGAAGTCGTGGATGAAATCAAAAACATTACATCACAACTCAAACTGTTTTCTTTTGAAGATGGTGGCGTTAATTTTACCTATATCGATGTCTGTGCCGTTCAAAACGGGGCATGTTTTATTAATGGGGAGTTTATATTAGGAGATGATTTTATACAACGCTACCAAGGTGGAAGCATCACATACCCAAAATGGACAAGCCCACAAGGTATCCCCACGGATCTATCAGGATTAATTAAAGGCAATGCTAATGCTTCCATGGTGTTAGAATCAGTTTCTACTCTGTATTTGAAGTTCAACCTTCGACAAGATAACATTTCGCGAAGTAAAAAATGGGAGATAGAATTTCTTGACGTCCTGTCCAAAATGTCAACAAATCTGACAGATGTAGCTTATTCTGTGTCATCGTCGCTGGATAGGGAACTGAACAAAAATACGGGACAAGATATCGTTTGGTTTTCGCTCTCATTTTCGATATTGATTACATATGCTTCATTCGTAGCTGCAGGTGGAAACTGTGTTTCTAACCGTAGTCATTTAGCACGAGCTGGAGTCATAGGAGTGGCGTTAGCTATCTTAGCATCTTTTGGGATCCTTAGTGCTGGTGGTCTTAAATTCGTTAATATTGTTGGAGTCATGCCATTCTTAGCATTGGGTAAGTGATTACATTTACTTAATAAAAAACATGCATTTCAGACCCGTCAACCCCTCAAAGCGGCAGTCGATTTCTAAAATCGAGTAAACATACATTATGCAAGAGCTAAATCTGCTTATTGCAGATCTTTCTTTCAGCCTAAAATGTTATCTAAATTATTAATTAGACATTTATTAACATATCCAGACCATAATCAACTCTCGATGCCATCGCTAGCCTGCGATGTTTACTGGGTTTCAATAGATTTTGTAATGGATAATTTAACGTAAAAATGGATAATCAAGACTTTGTTTATTATCATACCAACGTTATGGCGATTGAATTGCTAATATCTCAGTTTAGAGTGAGAAATTTGACTGAAATGTTTAGCATATTCTATTTTCATTATCTTTTTTTTAACTATTATAGTGAAAAATGTCAGCTCTATAATTTAACGTAAAAATGGATAATCAAGACTTTGTTTATTATCATACCAACGTTATGGCGATTGAATTACTAATATCTCAGTTTAGAGTGAGAAATTTGACTGAAATGTTTAGCATATTCTATTTTCATTATCTTTTTTTTAACTATTATAGTGAAAAATGTCAGCTCTTACCTATTGCCACTTTAAACTGACCCTATTATCTTCCAATAAATCGGATATCTTAGATATACATCAAGGCATATCCGTATTAAATCATATAATATCTGATCTCTTTAGTCAGTACATAAATGAGTTGGAGCCACGGTGGCTAAGTGAGTAAGATACTGGCTCGCTAGTCTGGAGGTCGCGGGTTCGATCCCAGTGTTGGTCGAGAAAGTTTATCGTGATTTTTCCGGCATGGTTTCGTCTTGTCAGTGGTGCAGGACGGAGGACTTGACAAGGACAAGCAGTCTAGTCGTTCGGATGGGACCAAAATAGAACTCTATATTTAGGCAAATATTATGACTCATATTCATAATATAGTTAGTCAAAACCAAGCCTGGAAATAAAGCTACTGTCACAGACAATGTCAGGCACAGATTCAGGCTTTGTCAGCTACAATTCCTCATTTTGTCTGGCACTGATTTCAAGATTTGACTTTTTTATTGATATTATTAATACATATCCGGCACTAAGTTGAAAATATCAGGTACTATTTCCAGGCGTGGGTAAATCGTAACCAAGATCTTATTATAATTACTGAAGTTTTCATATGTAGGTGTAGGAGTGGACTCCATGTTTGTGATCATGTCAGAATGGACAGAACATCACAAGAAAGCAACTACTGAGGATCAGATGGAGGCAACATTAAGAGGGTGTGGTGGTTCTATAACTATAGCTTCACTAACTGATATTACAGCTTTCTTCATAGGAGCCGCATCTCAATTCATCAGCATCAGAAACTTCTGTTTATACACTGGTGAGTGTATGTTTAGTAGACTAAATAATATGGAGATTATTGTTAAGCTGTTATTTAATTCATAATGTCTTGTCATTGAGTCAAGTGGCGTGGTTTCGACTCCCCGCTTGTACGTGACAAGGAGTAGGGTCGCCTATTCAACCTCATGGGTTTTACTCCCGGTACGTCAGTTTGCTCGGGGGGTTGGATGGCCGAATCTTCAGCGCATGCACGCTGTATCATAAGACCAGTCATTGAGTCAACTGGCGTGGTTTCGATTCCCCGGTTGCATGTGACAAGGAGTAGGGTTGCCTGTCCTACCTCGTGGGTTTTCTCTGGGTCCTCCGGTTTCCTCCCACTTCAAAAGACCCCTACACGCAAGCGAATTATTGAATTAAAGTTGAACCTTATGCCAGTCTCTCTCTCAGTATTGTGAGGCAGTATTTGGTATTATTGGGTAAATCACCCTGACCATTAAAGATGGGGGGTGGGGGTGTTGATGGCCGAATGGTTTGCACGTGCCCCCGCTGTATCATAAGGTCCCCGCTTGTACGTGACAAGGGGTAGGTTCACTAATAATGTGGCAGTATTTGGTATTATTTGGTAAATCACCCGCCCGTTTAAAGATTTTCATCTCCGCAAAAACTGCAGTCTGCTTACTAGTTGTTCTCTCTATTATTTTCAGGTTTCGCTCTTGCCATCTGCTTTTTATGCCACCTGACCTTTTTCATTGGTTGTTTGGCTCTGCACGGTAGGAGAGTACGAAGTAACCGTCACTGCATTACTTGCCTAGAGACTGAGGACGAAGAAACCATGAAATTGACAAGTAATTCCCTCACTGTTTTCCTTTGTTCGGGAAAAAAGCCAGAAAAGCGAGAAGATGATGAAAGTTTGTGCGAAAAGATACCACGAATCTTACTAACTAAAACAGTTCTGAAGAATGGAACCAAGGCAGTGGTTATTCTTCTATTTTTGGTATATCATGGTTTTTCCGTATGGGGAGTCATTAACCTAAAACAAGGATTAATTTTAAGAAATTTAATAAGTGATACTTCGTATTTTAACAAGTATGAAACTTGGAGAAGCTCAGAATTTGAAACAAGATTCAGCATCTCTTTTATCTTTGAAAACATTGATTATCTAAATGAAGCCCAAGTTAATTCTATGAAAAATTTAATGAAGTCTGTTCAAGACGAATCCATCGTGGAAAATAATTCGTTACTTTGTTGGTACCATCAATACGAGGTCAGTAACAACTTCAACAAAGTTTCTCAGAATCAGTTCATTAGTAATTTACGGACTTTCTTATCTCATCGTCCACATATTTCTAACGACGTTGAATTTACTTCTGATGGTAGCGCAATTAAAGCGTCACGGTGTTACATTTTTACTGCCAATCTACCAGATTCAACGGATCATGGTAATCTCATGTTGCGGATGAGGGAACTTGCTGATGGATCTGATCTTGATGTATTTGCTTATACTCCACCATTTATATTTTTTGAACAGTATGTAGTTATATTGCCCAATACCTTACAGACAGTTGGTATTGCGGTGATCTGTATGTTGGTAATCACGATAATATTTATGCCTCATCCCATAATGGTCGCATTGGTAACCCTAAATTTGATCAGTATCCTGGTGGGAATTTTCGGGTTTCTGTATTTCTGGGATTTAACTTTAAGCTCTATTACTATGATACATCTTATAATGAGTGTAGGGTTTTCCGTGGATTTTAGTGTCCACGTATGTCATGGGTTCATGTCTTCCGATAAAGTCGACAAAGATGGCAAGGCACAAGATGCATTAACGATTTCTGCCGCTCCCGTTATTAATGGTGGATTGTCATCTCTACTTGGCATTTGCACGCTGGTAGGGTCCCAGTCTTATGTTTTTAGGTCATTCTTTAAAATAATGGTTCTTGTTATAAGCTTTGGTTTGGCTCACTCAATGCTACTGTTACCAGTGATCCTTTCATTGATCGGTCCAACTAATGACCGTAATATTAAAGGGAAACCACAAGACAAAAAGGGAGTGCAATTAATAGAGATTAAAGCGACTAATACTACTTCAGGCACAAACGTGTAAGTAGCAAATATATCACCATCCTCGGTATCCCCAGGGTATAGTGGAGTAGAACGGAATGAGGATACACTGGGGATACCGAGGAGGATATATCGCCCAGTATAACCTAAGTTACACATACTGCACCAAGGAATAGCGATGCACTGAAGCACAATACAGGGGCCATATAACCCAGTATCTCTCAAGACATAAAGCCACCAGAGGAAGAAAATATATTTTCCTTCGTTTGAGCGAATTGAGTAAAAAAGAAGGAAACTATATTCTGATCTGGGATGTATGAGTGTACGTGTTGTGTTGTTGGAACAGGTTTTGTCATTCAGGTCGAAATCGCCACCAAGTTCAGTTCACATTTGTTTTAATAGTGATTTACTGATCTTGCCTTGTATAGAAATAAATGTAGGTTTATATTAAACATACATTATGGGAGATTAGATAAAGAGCTGGCAGTTCTCACTATAATAGCTAAAAACTAGATAATGTGAAAGGAATATGCTGAAAATTTAGTCAAATTGCTCCTCTATGAACCGAAAATTTAGCGATTGAAATTTTGGCCTAACCTTGATCATCAGTACGATAGAAAAACATAGTCTCAATTATCCATTTTTGGATTAAATATTCAAATCCAATAAATATCGCAGGCTAGCGATGACATCGAGAGTTGATTATTGCCTGGATAGGTTAATTAATGTCTAATTAATAATTTAATAATATTTCAGACCTAAAGAAAGACCTGCAATATCCAGATTTAGCCCTTGCATAATGTATGTTTAAGCGATGCATTATTTGTGTAAGCTTATAGGACGGTGATATTTATATGTATATTATATTAAATTATTGTGCTATTATTGGGTGCATGTATTTAGTGCCAAACGAGATAAGATTGGAGGAGACATCTAGTCAATACAAAGTTCAGTCTGGTTAAAACACAGATCCTATTTCGTTTCATTTTTTTATAGTTCAAAATTTCGTTTTACTTGTCTTTACTACACTAGGATCTGGAAGAGTTGTTATATTATCAGCGTTTTAGTTGAAGTGAAGAATTAACCAATGAAATAGTCTGTTACGGTGACTTCTTGGCGTGCCATGCACGGATCTGTGGGTAAACCACTAGAAACGCCAACGCTGATTGATTAAAGATACATCATGGGAGATAAGATAAAGAGATGGCAGTTCTCGCTATAATAGTTAAAAACTAGATAGTGTAAAGGTAATTTGCTGAAAATTTCAGTCAAATTGATCCACTATGAGCCGAGAAAGAAGCGGATGAAATTTTTGCATAGTCTCGGTCATCATTACTAAAATCATTAATATAAACAGCATAGTCTCGATTATCCACTTTTTTTTTATTTAATTATCAATGGCCGTTAGCGGCATATAGGAATCTAATCCAGCCAACATCGATGGCTAGCCTTGACATCGAGAGTTTATTATGGTCTGGATAAGTTAATTAATGTCTAATTGATAATTTAGATAACATTTCAGGCCTAAAGAAAGACTTGTAATAAGCAGATTTTGTTCTTGCATAATGCATGTTTAATCAATGTCTGACGTCATAGGGTCAAAAGCCGCTCGTACGATCCGACACGACCTTATAGTACAACTTGTCAGATCTTCATGTAGTGTAGGCAATCGAAAGTATAAAAAAACGAAATGAAATATAGATCTTTATTTGAATCAGATTGTACAAAGTTAAACATATTGCATTTTATTGATCATTTTTTTTTCTTTTAATTTTTTTGGGGGGTTATGCCGTGAGTGGAGAAAAACATGGTCTTTTGTCGACTCACTACTAATTTCCCATAAAATGGGTTTGTGTTTCACGAAGACCATAAATGGGTCATAAAGTTTTGTTTTGGTCTTTTGTTGACTCACAATAATTTCCCATAAAATGGGTTTGTGTTTCACAAAGACCATAAATGGGTCATAAAGTTTTGTTTTGGTCTTTTGTTGACTCACTACTAATTTCCCATAAAATGGGTTTGTGTTTCACAAAGACCATAAATGGGTCATAAAGACTGCAAATGGATCACAAAGACCGTAAATGGATCTTTGGCATTGAACAAAGGCTCGTACTTTTGTTGATCTGAACTTTTTTTATTTATAAAACGTTTACAATTGCAGACAACCGGTGAAATTTAAAGCTTCAAGCATGTTTTAGAAAATGTGATTTAATATATTATTTTCAGGTTTTCGTTATTTTGTTTTATTATTACCACACGCTCATCATTTTTTTGTTACTCAATAAAAGGAGAATTCTAGATCGGAGACGGTCCTGCATATTTTAGCACATATGATGTCATATGTGGACTGTGGGTTAGGTTAGGGTAGGGTTCTAGTTATCAACCTTTTTTGCCAACGGCACTCCATGGAACACATGCAAAAATAGTGGCACACCTGGCTAAATATATATGAAAAATATTTGAATTTTGCAAAATAAAGACATGGCAAGTAATAGACCGCAAACAATCGTAGACACCGACTAGTCATAGACACATAATATGATGACTCAAACTAAAAGAAAAACACAACTAGGAACTTACTTTATTGCAGTGTTTCGAATTTCAACTGGGTTCTTTAGTGAGAAATGATCTGAGTGTGCCGTTTAAAATTTTGCGGCACACTTAGGAAGATCTTACTACCCTAACCCTAACCCAAATATGACGTCATATGTGCAGGACCGTCCACGATCTAGCTTTCTCCTGTTAAATACTTTATATTGTATGGCTTAATCAATCATTATTTTTATCATTGTGGGCGTATTATGTTATTGGTCAGCCCATCAACATTACATTGACTTGTAAACGCAATAGAGGCTAAAGTTTATCAAGAGTGTCATAAGGCCTGTCATTCAGTCAAGTGGCGTGGTTTCGAATCTCCGGTTGTACGTGATGAGGAGTAGGGTCGCCTGTCCAACCTCGTTGGTTTCCTCCAACTGCTAAAGACCCCTACGATAAGCGAATTATTGAAATAAAATTAAACCATATGTTAGTCCCGAGATGACCTAGTTTGTGTCAAATGGGCGTTAAACCCAATTTCTCACTCTTTTTATCAAAAGGGTAGAGTTTTAATGCTCTCTACCAGAGTTATAGCCTATCGATATTTAGGCCTCACTCCCTTTCAGTAAACATTTTGAACGCGATAGATGCTATAGTTTTTAACAGATTATTTTTAAATTTGGTGGAAAGCATTTTGGTCGTCATGAGATGATGAACCTTATCGATTCTCAGTCTTCTGCAAAAGTTTGCACCAGAGTTACCCCCCTTTGCCAAAAACCTTGCCATCGTCAGAGGCTAGTGTTTTTAAAAGATTTTTTAAAAAATTTGCTTTGAAACAATGGCCGCATAAGATATTCAGTGTTCTACGGCTTTCTATTTCGGAGTTATCTCTGATAATTACTGCCAGAGTTATTATCACCTGGAAAAACCTTGTGCATGCTCTAGCAGTTAAAAGGCCAATCCCGATAATATTTTGGAGAATAAAACTGCTTAATTTTGTATTAAAATCCGTTAAAATCCTCTACCTTAGGACCGAGTAACCAACAGTACCAACTCAACATATGTGATACTTTTTTAAACATCTTAACCTAGTCAGTCTTCATCTGTAAGGGTTACGTGTCCCGATAAGCAGTTTTGACGTTCACGTCCAAACGACTTAATATTTTGTGCTGAAATTTTGAGACATGGTAAATACACCATTCCTCTGTATGTTGGTGCTTAAATGTCATACTTGAGACTCTGTTCAAACCGGGATAGTCCCTTTAAAAGTTATTTTGCTATTTATTATAATTTAATACATCGTGTTTATGCGATATTTTCAACTCGTATCGATAACTGGAACCGGTACAATTTTTGCAAAGTAAAAGTTAGCATATTAAAGTCGCTAATTAAATCCATAACTCAGTAGGTATATTAATCACCCAAAGCCTTCCACATTGAAAAAACAAGTTATTTGTCGATTTAAATCAACATTGATGTTGTGATCTTACCAGGAAAAGATGGACTTCTGATATCCAATATTTAAGACTAAATAAACATTTTGCCAGAGGTACACGAATCGTGTACCATAATGCGTTTCGGCTACATTTTTAACAACGGACTTGGAAGAACGAGACTAGACATATTCCACAAGTCCTGTCAAACGGTGATGCCATATTCTTATCTGGAGAGCATGCGCAATACATACTATTGTTGTAGACTGGAATAACCAGGTGTTAGAGATTGCCATTCGATTGAGATGTCTGGCTTATTTCGCCTAACATAACTGATTTGAAATTAGAGTAAAAACGGAAACGATTGAATATAAATCAGTTTATATACATTCATATTACATTATTATATGCGTTGCGCCCCACTTGGGCAATTTCTAGGTCCCAAATATCAGCCAATCATATTTAAATTATTTCTGATAATTACTTACTGGGATTGTACACTTGCTCAGTTTTTAGAATCTCTTAAATATGCACAACCCTTGTGGGCTGCTCTGACGACTTAGCAGCTGTGGGCGTATGTTTTGTTGCCTGACAGCCTATCTTTGTATATTTTATGCTGATGTGGCCTATTAATTGTTATAAATGTCAATGTAATACCAGTGACACAGAAGTATTAAAACATGCTTATAATAATAATATGTAAATTCGTTTTAGTATATTTTGTATTGATGTTATTAAAATTACTTGCATAAATGTCTCTGTAATAACAATGAGCATCTACACTGGAGTGTGTTAGCTTTCCAAAGTATTAAATTATTATAAATTATGATTCAAGAATGTTCATAACTATACACCCGGTGCTTTAAGGGAGAAATGAAATGAAATGAAGTTTAACGTCCTACTATTCTGCTCCGAATTGGGCTAATGAAGACATGCATACGCCATACAGTATGCTATGAGGGAAATTTTGCCCGGACAGCGGCACTACGGCCTACTCTTATATCGAATTCTAACTATCAAGGGATCTTTTGTGTGCACGCCAATGTGTACACGAGACCTCAGTTTTTCGTCACCTCTGAATGATTAGACAGCTGTCCTTGTCAGGCCCTCCGTCCTGCATCACTGACAAGGGGGAACCACGGCAGAAAATCTGGATAAACTTTCTCGGCCAATGCAGGGATCGAACAACCGACCTCCAGGCTAGAGAGCCAGCGTCATATTATTTCAATTTTCACAGTGCAAGCTGCATATGCCAGCAGTTTTATTTTAGTTTTACAATTTGAAATTTATATTGCTCCACAGTACCAATGTCACAGTGTTAAAATACAGAATACACTTATCATTAATACAAAACACAGTATAATAGTTATTTTGTACATTACCCTTTTTCATTCTGCATTTTGCGTAAATCGAAAATATACCTTATATGAAATCTACCATGAACCTCATTTGCATATGGCAAAAAGTCTGTACTAGGAATGGAAATTAATAATTTACACAATCTATCTAATTTCCTGTTCCGACTGGGCTAATGAAGACGGACATACGCCATACAGTGTGCTATGAGGGAAATTTTGCAAGGATATCAGCACAACGGCCAACTTTTATATCAAATTCCAACTGTCAAGGGTTATTTGTCACACGACAATACAACAGTAATAGGGTCCAAGAAGCGACATTTTAGACTTGCGCTCCTATCTTTTGATTTTTGTCGTAACAATGCCTTATCGACTTATCGCCCTTGTCTTTGTTGTTCAAATTGTCGTTAAATTGAACAATCGATGTGATTAAATCATTAAAATCTGGAGTTTCGAAGAATGATGATACTAAACTTAGTCTGTCTGTCTACAGTTAGTTCCGTTTGAGAACAGACACTAAGCTATTTGACCGACATTTTAAGTCCTTAATCGACGATTTTAGTCCAAAACACTATAAGTATGCTTTGAGAATTTAGAGAATTTTTTATTCAGCTTCCATTTAATGGAAGAATTGAATAGGTTTATTTAGTAATTGTGTGTTTGCCAGATATGAACCGCATTACAAAGCAATATACTGATTTTTGGATATGGCGACCATTCAGGGCAGAGATTTATTCTCGAAGTATGAAGATATAGATAGATGGGTCTCGTCCGTGCAGAATGATCTTTGATCTGCCGATATCGAAAGTGGCTATAAATAAAGTGTTTTCCTGATGTGCTATTTTTAGATCGTGACGCATGATATATATCTACAATCTTTAGGCAATGCTTTTGTACAGTGAATAACGTTAACACGTAAGCCATTGTATCAGGTTTTTCCATGGGGTATTCCCATAAGAAAACCTTTACATACGCCTGTTTTAATATCTATTTGGTTTGTGCTTGACGTTACTCATAAGAACAAATTCGTGGAAAGTACAAACATCTAAAAATCTGTTATTAATAAGAAGTTCGAAGTCCAGACAAAGTGAAAATGTCTGATATGGTAAGTAAATTGCTTGGATAACTCATTTCGTTTCGATTCGTTTTTTTTTTCTTACCAAACGAGAGTAAAAAGCTGGCTCATTAACCCGGAGTTCCTGGGTTGGGTGCCTTCCTATGTCCCGTATTCATACATATTTACATAGCTATAGTAACAGTGTGGTTTTAACTGTCTATAATTACCATTGTCTACAGTTACATAACTAACAGAAAACATGTAATGTATTCACGTGTGTTAATTTTTTGTATATGGGTTCAATTTAGGAACAATGAGTGGAAGGTAATCTAGGGATAGATTAAGAAATTTAATTAAATTAATGACCCATTGTTACTTATATGAATATCCTTTAATAAAATGGTTTTCCATTATTTTTCTTTTCGTCATGTTATCGACTTTCATTTTATAAAACGGGAAAATTTGGAATTTTACTTCCTGGTGTTGTGCACATCTACAGATATGGCTATTTACAAATAAGGTCCCATTTTTAATGTTACAGTCTCGTCGATAGTTTCGTACTTTATCCCGTAGATATGTGCCCGTCTCTGCGATATAAAGATTTCGACAACTATTATATTCTTTGGGGTTTCCGTTTGGAAAAAATTACGCCCCTTTCAAGGGAAGTAACTCCACCGAAAGAAACTGGGTTAAGACTAGTAATTTCTCTAATATGACGACAAACAGAGAATTAAAGAAATGTTTCACTTCCTAATTTCCATGACCAGTCAATATTATGATTATTTATAGTTTTGAAGTCACAATATTTGATATTCGCTAGAGATATACAAGTGGCGTTTTAGTTCGGTTTTCTTTGGCCAAACTTTGGTATTCGATATTTTAAAGGCAAACCAAATCAAATTATTTGATATTCGGTAGCGGAGGGGTGGGTGGTATGGGGCGTTATATATTAGTTCGGTTTTCTATGAAAAAACTTGGATGTTTTAAAGGCAAAGCAAATTAAACGACAGAAAAAACTGAGACCAGGGGAAGAGTTCAAACAGTTACAAGAAATTAAGTTAGCATGGCAAAGAGAAGAATGTCGACGACTGTCACAGCGTGTGGAGGAATTGACACGCAGGGTCCAAGAGTTGGAAGCTGAAGCTGAAGAGAGGGAACAGCGGGAACAGAGGCAAAGAAAAAGAGTATGGAAAAAAATACCGGCGAAAGATGACTGGATAACGTTACGTTTGTATAATATCTCAGACAGGTAATGCATTTTGTAGACTGGATAATCTGATTTAATACGTCATATTATGAACGTTAAACATTTTCCCTTTAAGCCGAACGCACACGATGGAACATTTTAGACAAACATTCATGAAAACATTGTTCCCATCAATTTGTTCGCCGTCTACGAGTTCGAAAACACGAACAAAAATGTTTCGAAAAATTGTCCATGAAATCGAACGTATTTGTCATCTGCGGACGAGAAAAACAAAACTATGTGTTCGATGTTTTTGTTCGTCGACATAAATATTCCATCGTCTGCGGGGGGCGGGGACGAGGGGTCACAGTGGCTAAGTGGGTAAGGCGATGACTCGCTAGCCTAGAGGTCGGGTGTTCGATCCCAATCTGTTTCACAGAGAATTACGAGTCTCGTATAATATCTGTCATAGATGACTGCCTTAACACGTGCTGTCACAGCACGCGGTGTGAATCACTGGCTGAATGGCGCGTGCATTGTTTACATAAGACATAACTGCTTCGGAGAGAATGCTGCATTTTAGTCATTTTAATACCCATTTACACTAAATCGGAAATATTTTTTAACTACAAATACGTCAAACGCCTTTATTTATTTTTCCAATATATGCAAAAAATGTTTTAGAATTTAATTTGTCGCAGGAAAAAAGTTAATATTTCTAGCTCATTAAGCCGCATCAATGTCATCCTTATCAGTGATTGTCGCGGCCAAGCAAATATTCACTGCGGATCAGTGTGGTTCGATCCCTGCATTGGCCGAGAAAGTTCATCCAGATTTTCCGGCGTGGTTCCCCCTTGTCAGTGATGCAGGACGGAGGGCCTGACAAGGACAGCTGTCTAGGCATTTGGAAGGGACGTAAACCCGAGGCCCCGTTTACACATTGGCGTACAGGTAAAAGATCCCTTAGCAGTTGGAATTCGATATAAGAGTAGGCCGTAGTGCCGCTGTCCGGACAAAATTACCCTCATAGCCCACTGCATGGTGTATGCCCGTCTTCATTAACCCAGTCGGAGCAGAACAGAAGGACGCTAAACCCAATTTCGCCTCTCCAATTCTAAGATAATTAAAATGGCGTCTGTGTGTTTCAGTGAGGATTGTGTTGGCAGTATAAAGGTTAAAAGGGAGATTACTGTTGAGGAATTACAGGGCAGGATTCGGGAGCAACTGGAAACGGAGAAACTTTACATCGATGATATTTGGAGTGAGGAAAAAGAACGCCATATTTATCGCGAAACTCTGGACTTGAATAAAACTCTGGATGAGTATGATATTGAAGATGAGGAACATGTGTTTTATTGGTAAAAACATGTCATGCACACAATGTGCTGGTTTTAAAAAAAGCGTTAAAGACATTAGACAAATTTGAAATGATTATTTCACATTTAGATTAAATAGATGAAACCGGAAATGATATAACCCCGAAACCGGAAGTGATATAATCCCAAAACCGGGAGTGATAATACAACACCACTAGTGAGTGATAGGACAACGCCGCTAGTGAGTGATAGTGCAACGCTACTAGTTGGAGCTGCCATGATATCCAAAATTACAGCCGACAATCACGAACAGACAAACACACAGACACACGACCGTCACAGATTATATTCATTGGTTGAATTAAAAGTCGATACTAATTGAATATTTTTTGTGTAGCTTTCACTATAGATAATGTGTTTGAAATGTTTATTGAATTATTCTAGTGCAGTGTTATATTATTCACTACTGACATCGAATCCCATACAGTACATAAGTCATAGCTTTACCGAAACCGGAAAACAATAATAAATGATTTCCATCGCGTAGTTTCTAAGAATTATCGACATGTCAGTTTGTCGAAATTTGTTCCACGGGCCACATTTAAACCCTTGGCGGGTCCGGATCTGGTCCCCGGGCCGATTGTGTGACACCCCTGCTTTAGACAATGTGTTGGAATGTTTTTTCTTGAATTATTCAAATGTTTATTGGCGATTTAAAGATTATAACATAATTGATGCACTTGTGTAACTTCAATCAAATTAAAATACAGATCTATATTTCGTTTCGTTTTTTATACTTTCGATGGCCTACACTACATGAAGATCTAACAAGTTATAGTGGGAGTTCACGTCAGGGGTCAATCGAGCTGTTTTTGACCCTGTTACGTCAGATATTGATTATGGATTAATCAA